AGTATTTTAATTTATTTATTTATTAGGCATCAACTTCTGTGCCATTACTTGTCAGTCATGCAAAGCATTCTTCAGGAGGAATGCCTACAATTTTGAGGTAAAACTAATTTTCACATTATAATAACTAAATAAAACTATTATTAATAAATCTACAGAAACAGAAGTGTAGGTTCGGAGACATTTGTGTAGTGAATGAGAAAACGAGAAAATATTGCATCAAATGTAGACTCATTAAGTGTTTTGCCGTCGGAATGAAAAAAGTGATTATTGTTTATATATTTTATACAAAAATCATTTATAAAACATTTATTTTGATGACTGAAGGAATGGATTATGAATGAGAAGGAGAAGCAATTGAGAAGAACTCAAATCGAAAAGAACCGAAAGTTTAGGCAAACTATCTCTAAAAATACCACAAATGGTGACAAAACACCGCAAACTTTAAACTCAGACTCAGATATCGACTCAATTGAGACCTTAGACGACGAGAAAATTATTGACTATATTCTGGACATTACTAATGAAAGTAATGATGAAACAACTAAGGCAATCAATTATAATCATGAAGTAAATACTGAGACCAGGGATCAAATTGATGGTGAATTATCTGTATTGTCTGACACATCTGATACATTGATTACCTTTAATAGTAATAATGATAATATTTGTGATAATGGCGATGTAATGTCTGTACAACTTGTTAATACAAATGCTATGAACATGATTAACAATTTAAACAGTTTTAATGACTTTGAATGCAAACGATTAGAGGAGCTATTCAGATACCACTATATGTTTAGACATGAGGGTTGTCCGGAAGTCATGTCTGTATTCAAAACAACCAATGAGCTCATGGAGCACTGTGCTCGAAACTTTCATAAATACATAAATAATTTTATAAAAGCAACTAGGAGATTGAGTGCATTTGATAGCATATGTCTGAATGACCAAATAGCCCTGGTCAAATACAGTTGCATTGAGATGCAGATATTGAGAGCCGCATTATCCTACAGTCACGATAAGCAATACTGGAATATGGATGTGGTATGTATTAATAGATATCAAGACAGTTAGCTAATTAATTAATTAATATCTAACTAATAGGACCAAAAGGTTTCATACGTTCTTACATTGGATTTAATTAAAAGTTTTAAACGAAATATTTATTCAAAACTTGTCGACTATATACAGACTTTTAGAAATGAACTGGATGCTGATCGCCTAATTCTTGAATTGGTAATTATAAGGTATTATCAAAATATTATTTATTAATCTCATATTGTCTGCTTGTTAACAGTTAATGCCTATTATACTGTTTAATCCCAAGAGACCAAACATTGTACAAAAGGATGTGATCGAGTAAGTAATCAATAGTTTTGTGAATTTAAATACTAATAATTGCATTTAAATTGTATTATGTTAATAGAGTGCAACACCAGTTAATGGACATAAATGAAGTTGCTATAAACGCATATTTTATACCGAAACTTACGCTCTGATTTAAAAGAGTATATAATGTGTAAGAAGTTCTGTAAGTGCATAACTTACTTAACGTATTTCTTTTGATATGGGAAATAATATCTGAAAAGTGTGGACCACTATTAAGAGAGATTCTCGATATACCATCAGATTATGGATTAGAGTATCAATTAATTCAATCATAGTTTTCATTTTAATTCTGATAAAAGCATTTTAATAACAATTTGTTTATTTATCAAGAGAATAGTAAACAAGTTTATTAACTAATAACTATATTAACTAAAAATAAAAAGAAATAAAATTTTTAAATTTATATAACCGTTATACATTATTTATACCATTTGTGTGATTTTAATTTACACATTACTCAAATAAAGTGTTGTTAAATTTATTATAATTGCATTAAATTCAGTGTAACATTGAAACTTTATTTATTTATTTATAAAAAATTCAATTGACAATTTCTGTATTATATCAAAGTATTTATCATATCAATCATCATTACAGAATCATATTTTATATAACTTAGTACACTTGCATGTGAAGTTTGATTTTTATTTATTAAGTTTTAATAACATAACAAAATAATTCACAATTTGTTGTTTATTATGTGAAGAGATTCACCATAAATGAATAATTTTTAGAATTTAAATTAAAAATTTAATAGTTTTGTTAATTCAATAAAATAAAATATTAGTTCCACAATAAATTATTATTTCATTTACAGATTACTCTATTTCAACACAAATCAAACACCACGATTACGAATACCATAACTTAGGTACTTAAGAAACATTGTTTGAATAAATGTTTAAGTATTTTATTTATTAGGTATTAACTACTGTGCCATTACTTGTCTATCATGCAAGTCTTTTTTCAAGAGGAATGCCTACAATTTTGAGGTAAACATGACTTCTAATGTAATCTTATTTATAAAATTATAACTTTTATTCTCAAAACCACAGAAACAAAAGTGTAGATTCCGTGACATTTGTGTAGTCAATGAGAAAACGAGAAAACATTGCATCAAATGTCGACTCAAAAAGTGTTTTGCCGTCGGAATGAAAAGAGTATTTATTTTTCATATATCTTATGATTTTTATTAAATTTTAAAATCGTTTGAATACTGAAGGAATGGCTAATGAATGAGACGGAGAAGCAATTGAGAAGAACTCAAATCGAAATGAACCGAAAGTCGAGACAAAATGCTTTTAAGAGTACCACAACTGCTGACAAATTAACACAAACTTTAAACTCGGACACAGATATCGATTCAATTGAGACCTTAGAAGAGGAGAAAATAATAGACTATATTCTGGACATCGCTTATGATAGCAATGATAAAACAATTAATGTGAACAAAGTTAAAGTCTTAGATTCAACTGGTGGTGAAGTATCACAAACACCAGATTCATTGAGTACTTCTAATTGTGATATAATGGTCGTGCAGTTAATCAACTCAAATACAATGAACACTATTAATGATTTAAATAGTTTTAATGAGTTTGAATGCAAACGATTGGAAGAGTTATTGAGATGTGATTATATGTATAGACATCAGAGTTGTCCCAAAATAAAGTCTGTGTTTACGACAGTCAATGAGTTGAGAGCTTTTAGTGCTACGATATTTCATAAAAGTACTAATAATTTCATACAATTAGCAAGGAGATTGAGTGCATTTAACAGCATGTGCTTGAATGACCAAATAGCCATGATCAAATACAGTTGCATCGAAATGCAAATGTTGAAAGCCGCTATTTTCTACAACCATGATAATCCATATTGGTATCTTGAATTGGTAGTACTAATACCAGGATCGTTTAATTATTTAATTACAAAATTTGCATATTTCCAAATAATAGGGCCAAGACTATTCATATGTTCTTACATTGGATTTAACTAAACGTTTTACACAAAATATTTATCCCGCATTTAAATCTTATTTAAAGACATTTATAAATGAACTTGGTTCTGATCGTCAGATTCTTGAATTGGTAATTAATTAAATTAATATTTGGTACTAAAATATAAAATTACAACTAATTTAATTTGATTATTAACAGTTAGTGCCAATACTACTGTTTAATCCTAAGAGACCAGGCATTGTTCAAAAGGATATGATTGAGTAAACTATCGATAATTATGATATTAAAAATATAAATAGTTGTTAATAATTATATTAACTTTTATAGACTTCAACACCAGTTATACGTGTATTTACTTGAACGCTATTTGCGAATAAAATATGGCATTGAATACGAGACTAAATATTCTTCTATATTACATATTCTACAAAACATTCACATATTGAATGAATTGCATAAAGAAAACTGGAGAAGTATTGCCAAGTCTGATATGTCTGGACCATTCATACGAGAGATACTCGATGTGCCATCAAATTAAAGTTTATAGTATTATTTAATCAAGTCATGATTTGATTATCAATTATGTAATTGTATTTTAATAATAATATGTAATGTATACTAATAGAATAGTTAAGATTTTTGTTAAACAGTAAATATAAACTGCATTAACAAAATTAAAACTAATAAAATTGTAAAATAATTGTAATAGACTATTGATACTGTGCAATTAAAAAACAGGAAACAGTTGTTTGGTTTGTGACAATGAGTTACTATTAAAATCATATGATTGTTGAAATCAAAATTAAATCTAATAAAATTGTAAAATGATTGTAATAAACTATTGATACTGTGCAATTAAAAAACAGGAAACAGTTGTTTGGTTTGTGACAATGAGTTACTATTAAAATCATATGATTGTTGAAATATCTTATGTTTAAGTTTATGTAAATATAAACTTGATCTTTTAAAGTGCAAATCAATGTACTATATGGTACATGCACTATGTTGCACTATTGTTTCATCGTTAATATCATTTATAAATATCTGTTAAACAGATTCTGTTTTATGATAACTTAAATTTAATACAATCTTCTATAATATAATGATAAGAAGGGTAATAAATTTCAAATATCTTTCATTTTATGATAACTTAGTAAATGACTCCTAGGCACACAGTTTAAATAATGTTAGTATAAATGGTAGTTTTATATTAATAATATAAATACTGTATAAACATTATGCTTTTCAGAATTAAATAAATTCTTTAATAACTTATATTAATAATATATTGGTGTTTTGTGTAGATAAATCAATTGCACTTTCCAGTAGTAACACTCCGTACATTAAGTATACTGTATTACTTTTAATCAAATTATAATTATTATTATGTTTGTTAACTCTCAAACTAAATAACTTTGAGACATTGAGAAAGTCTCACTGATTGGACGGGTAGATAATAAAAGTAATAATAATTTTTATACAAGTACTGATTAGATTAACATTTATAATTAATTATTATTTCTACGGTTTCAGAGTTAGACGATAATAAGTTGATATTGTGTGACATGTTATTGCAGTTATGGTGTAAAATTATGTTTAAACAATATGCAGTAAATAAACAATTATTTAATTGAATATTTTGATTTTGTAAATAATTTTACATTTAAACATTTTCTAGATTTAGTAAATTTTATAAAATTATTTTATAAAAATCTTAATTGATTTAATTATGGATAAATTAAGAATGTGTTCCGTTTGCGGGGAATTGGCTCAGGGTATGTAGAATACATACTACAATATAGTAATAATATATAATTCTGTATTATGTATAATTAGCTAGTTATTATGATTATAATTGTGAACTAAATATTTATAAATCATGTATATTTCAGGCTATAATTTCTGTGCCATTACTTGTCAATCGTGCAAAGCTTTCTTTCGGAGGAATGCCTACAAATATGAGGTAAAAGGCAATCAAGAAAATCACGAATCTCTGCTAATTTAAGTCATAAATCTTTTAAACAGAAATTCAAGTGTAGATTTGGCGACATTTGTATCATCAATGAAAAGACCAGAAAAATGTGCAAAAAATGTCGACTCAAGAAATGTTTCGCTGTCGGCATGAAAAAAGTCTTTATATATAAAAAAGTATTAGTTTTTTGTGTTATTTTAACAAATATTGTGTCTTTTTTCGTGTGAAGGAATGGATACTCAATGAGGAGGAGAAGCTGTTCAGAAGAGCCCAAATTGAAGAGAATCGCAAACTTAAGAAAATCAAAAAGAAAACCTCCGACGAGTCAACTGGTAGTCCATCATCTGATGCCTCAAATGCTGAGACAATTAAAAGCGGTTCCGAAGAAGTAGTCAATGACGAGGAAATTACTGATTATTTGCTACAAATGGATAACTTCTATACCACTGAACCGATTGACACAAACAGTAATAATGATAATGAGATGTCTATAGAGTCCATACAATCGGCTACAACTGATTCAGATACCAGTGATGAGTCTATGAAAGTGGTATCATATATAAACAAGGAATTTTTAATTGTCAGCGAAGGTGAATTGATTGATGAGACCCAGAGTATCGACTGCAAACACCGACTGGCTGTCCAAATGCACTGCAACGCCTTAAATCAAATCAATTATATAAGTTGTTTCAACTCGTTTGAAATCAAACGACTCAATGAGCTAACAAGTCTTTGCATGTTTCAATTGATCCCGGGTCCTAAACGACTTAAACAAATCATGTTTAGCTCAGCGAATGAGCTCATGGAAAAGGCAGCCTCATCATTTGATACCTCGCTTATTAAATTGGTTGAAAGGATCAAGAGTATAAGTGCGTTTCAGAGTCTGTGTCAAAATGACCAGATATCCTTGATCAAATACAGTTGCATTGAGGTGCAGTTGCTTAAATGGGGACTATTTTATCGACACGAGAATGAGGTCTATATTATGGACGTGGTCAGTTAGCTATAGTTTAGAAATTATTATTTTTATAATTATACAATATTTTGTTAATTTCAGGACAAAACAAATGCAGTGATATTGACTTCCGATGTATTAAAGGGGTTAAAAAGAAATATGTACACCATTTTGCGTGAATATGTCGATATATTTGCCACTGAATTTGATTCTGACCCTCATATTCTTGAAATGGTATTTAATAATGTTATATAGATAATTATTTTACTTATATGTTAATTTAATGATTTTGTGAACAGCTAATGCCTATAGTGCTATTCAATCCCGAGAGACCAAACATTACTAATAAAGATATGGTCGAGTAAGTTGTTTATGATTATACCTTGATAAATTATTATTAATAGTATGTATTGTGCACTATAGACTTCAACATCAGCTATATTTGTATTTACTGCAAAAATATTTACGAATAAGATATGGTGCCGATAGTGACATGAAATTTTCAAAATCCTTGATAAATTATTATTAATAGTATGTATTGTGCACTATAGACTTCAACATCAGCTATATTTGTATTTACTGCAAAAATATTTACGAATAAGATATGGTGCCGATAGTGACATGAAATTTTCAAAAATATCATTTTTATTACAAGACTTGCAAACACTGAATGAATTACATAAACAAAACTTTCGTGAAGTAAATGCAGAAATCTGTGGACCACTACTGAGAGAGATACTGGACTTCCCATCCAATTATATCACATCATAAATGAATTGGATTTATAAGTTATTTATTACAATTGATTAGTTTTTATGTACTAATTGATAAAGATTATTGTTAAAGATTATTTATAAAATACTGAATGCTCAGATGTTATGTACAAAACTTCCCATTGTGTAATTTTTCAAAAAGTAAATTATTATTACAGATTATGTTTTAATATTATTATAAAAATAGTATCTATTAATTTAAATTGGTTATTTTAATCAAAATCAATGTGTTATTTAAATCTTTAAGTATCGCAATCTCAGTGCAGTAGTAATTTTTATAAACATAATCATTTAAAAAACTTTATTACGTTATTTATAAAAAGTTTCCTTTGATTGATTTAATTATTATTTACACAGAACTTTGTGATTATATTTAATATGATAGTAATTATTATAGCTAAGGTCTCAAAACTAAGTGCAAAGGAAAGTGCACACCATTGCATCCACTACCAAAATACTATATGATACTGCTAATACATAGTTCACTACGATATAAATTAATACAATGTAATATTACTTATCATAGATGTAAAATTACTAATAATGAATATATTGTAATAATTAAAGTAAACAATAATAATTACCAAAGTGAATAAAGTAATTTCAAACCTGGTAACTGATGCCAAAAAAAATAAAAGACTGTACAGTTTGTGGTGAAAAAGCCAGAGGTATGACATTTATACTTTAATATCAATAATCCAGACAACAATTTAGTGAAATTTTACTTTATTTTCAATATATAAATACCAAGGTAGAAATTTCTGTGCCATATCTTGTCAATCATGTAAAGCATTCTTTCGACGAAGTGCCTTCAAATTTGAGGTAAGAAATGAGTCAATAATATATAATTTATTAATTATATTATTAATTATTTGTGTAAATGTCACCAGAAATACAAGTGTAAGTCTAGAAACAACTGTCAAATCGATGGAAAGTCCAGACGATTGTGTAAGAAATGTCGGCTCAAGAAGTGTTTTGCGGTCGGAATGAAAAAGGTATGCAAACAATCAGTTTTGTAATAAATGTGACATTTATTTTGATTTATGATTGGATGCGAAGGAATGGATACTCAATGACGAGGAAAAGGAGTCGAGAAGACGACAAATAGAAGAGAACAGAATCAAGAAGTTTGGAGATCAGAGGAAAATAACTAATGGCTCAACAATTTGTACATTTAGTTCATCACCAGGTGTTGATCCTCAAGAAACTGACAGTTTGTTAGTTGTCTCGCAGAATGAAGAGATCACTGATTATGGGGAGAAAGACAAGTATTTGGATACTCTGGAGATGACATTAGAAATGCTAAATGATAGCAATAATATATCAAATATAATAGATCTAAACAAACATTATTCAACAAATATCGGCACATATTTACTACGAGAACCTAATGGTGTGAATGATGTTGAGATTACAGAGTTAGATAGCGCTGACATGTCGGACACATTGAGTATCTATGAGACAAATGGCGAAACACTTTCCCTGGACTTGTATAATAGTGATCACAACTTAATCACTAATAATAAAAACAGAAATGAATGTGAAATAGCTGTAAAGTTAATCACCAATCATACGATGGATAAACTGAACGAGTTAAACTACTTTAATCCATTTGAAAGTAAACGTTTGGGGGAATTGTTTAGTCTATCATGGATTAGGCGAATCACACTTTTCGATGATATTAAATATACAAGCTCATTTGACGACTCGACCATTTATACCATCTCTGTTACCACCGATGAACTGATGGAAAGAGTTGCCACAAAGTTTGACACAGAACTCCAACACCTTGTTGGCGCTATAAAGCAACTGGGTGCCTTTCAAAGCCTACAGTTAAATGACCAAATTGCCATGATCAAGTATAATTGCATTGAGCTGAGAATTATGCAAGCTGTCTTATATTTTTGTTCCAAAATTGAGGATTGGACTTTCAAAATAGTATGTGTACAAGATTATTAGTATTTTATTACAGTACTTTGTATATATTAGTTACCTGAAAACGAGACTAATTGAATAATTTGTGTATGTGTGTGTGTGTGTGTGTGTGTGTCTCCATTAATGGTAACTTATATACAAATAGAGTTATTATAAATAATGCTTATTTGTAAACCTTATACTTAAATTTAAAACAGGATAATAATTTATTCCTCAAGCTAAAATTGGATTCAATGAATGGGTTTACGTATAGTTTCTTTGCTTTATTGAAGTACTACTTAAACACATTTGCAAAGGAATTTGACTGCGATTTACATATTATACAATTGGTATTATTATTTATTATTATAATATAAAATGTTATCAATTAAAAAACAAATTTAAATATAATTTTTTATTTGTACCACATATTGATATTATTTTCTAACAGTTAATGCCTATAATACTGTTCAATCCGGAGAGACCTAATATCATTCACAAGGATATAATCGAGTAAATAATTTATAATGAATTAACTATAATTTTAATCCAGATCGTGTATGTCATACACTGTATGATGTGCTATAATGGCAAGTCTAGTATCTCTTTGAGTAGTGGTCCACACAATTCGGACTTCAATTCTCGGAGGTTTTGTTTTTGTTACCACATATTGATATTATTTTCTAACAGTTAATGCCTATAATACTGTTCAATCCGGAGAGACCTAATATCATTCACAAGGATATAATCGAGTAAATAATTTATAATGAATTAACTATAATTTTAATATAATATTTAAAGCAATGTCTATAAAAAAATTTTAATCACTTACAATAGAGTTCAACAACAATTATATCTGTATTTGATTCACAAATATTTACGTATGAAATATGGCTTTGAAGGCGAGAATAAATTCTCAAAGATATCAGATATACTGCAAGACTTGCAAACATTGAATGAATTGCAAAAACAAAACCTCCGAGAATTGAAGTCCGAATTGTGTGGACCACTACTCAAAGAGATACTAGACTTGCCATTATAGCACATCATACAGTGTATGACATACACGATCTGGATTAAAATTATAGTTATACTATAATCTACTACTGTACTTATATTTGAATCTACATGTTTTACATTCAAGTTTTACAGTAATGCATAAATACCGAATACTCAAATATTATACAAAAAGTCATTGTAAGCCTTAGTTATACCATAATTTTATTGTAAATTGTAACTATTTTTGACTATTAATAAAATATTCTATATATTTAATTAATAAATAAGTTTCACGTTCCTAGTGCAGCATTACTTTTTATAAGTCTAATCTTTATGACTACTTTATTACTTTGAAAATTTCCATTGATTTGCTCGATTGATTAATCTAATTATTATTTATACACAACTTTGTGATTAGATTTAATATAATAGTTATTATTATTCTTAAGGTTTCAAAACTAAGTGATATGAGAAAGTACACTATTGCAGCCCAATTACAAAATAATGATAATTCCTAATATATTACTCTACAGTATAATACAGTGTATTTTTGCTAACCTAATGTACTGTATAATGTAATAATAAAATTTATTAAATAATAATAGTGAACAAAAATTATTTAACACATTTAATAAATTAAACAAACTGGTAACCGATGCCAAATAAACTACGAAAGTGTACAGTTTGTGGGGAAAGGGCTAAAGGTATGCTAAATTCAATAACGATAAACACTAATCTTACAGCAAATTGTTTAAAAATTATCATTGAAAATAAATTAAATATATAATATTTTCAAAATACTAGGTTATAACTTTTGTGCCATATCTTGCCAATCGTGTAAAGCATTCTTCCGGAGAAATGCCTTCAAATATGAGGTAAGAAATGTGTTAAAGAGATATATATTTATGAATAGTAACCAAAGGTTGTCCAACTCATGACCAGAAATACAAGTGTAGATTTAGTAACAACTGTTTGGTCGACCAAAAGACAAGGAGATTGTGTAAGAAATGTCGGCTCAGAAAATGCTTTGCCGTTGGAATGAAAAAAGTAAGCATTCAATCAATTTTTGAAATAAATATGACATTTATTTTGATTTATGATTGGATGCGAAGGAATGGATACTGAATGCCGAGGAAAAGGAGTCGAGAAGACGACAAATAGAAGAGAACAGAATCAAGAAGTTTGGAGATAAGAGGAAAGCAAGTAATGGCTCAACATTTTCTACATTTAGTCCATCACCAGGTGTTGATCCTCAAGAAACTGACAGTTTATTAGATGTCACACAGAATCAAGAGATCAGTGATTATGACGAGACGGACAAGAGTTGGGATACAAATATTGATGAGATGTCTCCATTAAATCATAATAATACTAATATTATTTCAGATATTATACACCAAATCAGAAACTATTCAACAAATATAGACATGATTTTAATACAAGAGCCTAATTATGTGAGTAATATTAAGATTAAGGATTTAGATAGCAATGAAATGTCGGATACCTCACAATCAATGAACATCTCTGAGACAACTGATGAAAAATCATTAGATTTGTATAATAATGAAAACAGCAATGAATGTGAAATGGCTGTCAAACTGATCACCAATCATACGATGGATAAACTAAACAATTCAAACTATTTCAACAAATATGAATGCAAAAGAATAAAGGAGCTGTTTGATTTATCTATGTTTAAGAAAATCATAGACAACCATGTTAACCTTATTAATTCATTGGATGAGCCCATGTATACGGTAACTATTAACTTGGATGAGCTCATGGAAAGTGCTGCCCAAAAGTTTGACGCAAGCATCCAGGAACTTGTCGCTACAATTAAGAAACTGGGCGCCTTTCAAAGTTTAACATTAAATGACCAAATAGCCATGGTCAAGTATAATTGTATTGAACTTCAAATTTTAAAATCAGGTTTATGTTATAACTCTGACAGCGGTGGTTGGATTTTCAAAGTGGTATGTAAATTTTTATATGAGATTAGTATTTCAATTTATTATGGTAATTCTTATTATTCCGATTCTTATACTATTATAACCAGGATAACGATCTACTTATCAAGGTAGAATTTGAGGCACTTAATGGATTTAAGTATAGTTTTGTTGCTCTACTGAAGTACTATTTAAACACATTTGCCAAAGAATTTGACTCCGATTTTCATATTTTACAATTGGTATTAATTAGTAATAATAATCAAATAACTTGTTTGTATTAATTTATGATTTATTTATATTACTTTCTAACAGTTAGTGCCTATAATACTATTCAATCCGGAGAGACCAAACATAATTCATAAAGAAATGATTGAGTAATTTATAAGATTGATGTTGTTTAAATATTACGGCAATGCTAATTTTAAAACCAATTATAATAGGCTTCACCAGCAGTTATATCTGTATTTGCTTCAAAAGTATTTACGTATGAAATATGGCTCTGAATGCGAGAAAAAGTTTACTAAGATTTCCGATATGCTGCAAGACTTGAAAACATTGAATGAATTGCATAAACAAAACTTCAGAGAAGTTAAGCCAGAATTGTGTGGACCACTGCTCAAGGAGATTCTCGACTTGCCATCAAATCATATCAAACATAAATAAATTAAATATATACATTTGTTAATGATATACTGTATAATTTAATTCATAAAATTTTTATATTTAAATAAATTATTTAATTTAAATAATTGTTATTTTATCCAAAAATTTTTAATGTTTTACCAACAGTTCTTATGTATTACTTTTATACTGTAAGTACGGTATAATATTTTTATAACTATATAGTATATACAGTATATTATTACATTACTTATATAAGTTTTCAGCGATTTGTCCATTAGATTAATTAATTTATTATTTATACACAACTTTGTGATTAGATTTAATATAATAGTTATTATTATGTCTAAGGTTTCAAAATACAAGTGATAACAAAAAGTTCACTATTGCAGTCATATAACAAAATATGATAATTCTTACTAAATTACTCTACGTCAGCGTTCCTGAACTTTAAAAAAAAGATTAAGCTTGGAAGATTTGTAGAGTCTACAGTATAATTCAGTGTACTATTATTTTGATGAAAAATTTTTAGTGTAATGTAATAATTCTATTTATTAAATAATAATACTGAGCAACTATCATTTTTAATGTTTATTAATTAAATCAACAACTTTAAACCTGGTCACTTATGTCTAAAAATTTTAGAAAATGTACAGTTTGTGGCGAGTTGGCTAAAGGTATGTTATTATTATACTTAAATAACTTATTTTAATTATACATCAAACGATACTTATAACAAGGTTTTCAACTGTAACTTAATATTTATTTTCAATATACCAGGCTACAACTTTTGTGCCATATCTTGTCAATCATGTAAAGCATTCTTCAGACGAACTGCCTTCAAGTATGAGGTAAGAAATGAGTCAATAATATGATATTATTCATACATAACTACTATTATCTAAAACTGTGACCAGAAATACAAGTGTAGATTCAATAATAACTGTTTGATTGACGAAAAGACCCGAAGATTTTGTATAAAATGTCGGTTAAGGAAGTGCTTTGCGGTCGGCATGAAAAAGGTATGCAAACAATGAGTTTGTAATAAATATAACAATTATTTTGATTTATAATTGGATGCGAAGGAATGGATACTCAATGAAGAGGAAAAGGAATCGAGAAGACGACAAATAGAAGAGAACAGAATCAAGAAGTTTGGAGATAAGAGGAAAGCAAGTAATGGCTCAACAATCTGTACATTACCTGATATCGATGCTCAAGAAACTGATACTTTATTAAATGTCATTCACTCTGAAGAGATCACTGATTATGTCGAGACAAACGAGAATTTCGATACAAATGATGTTAATATGCCTTCAGTTAATATTGTGTCAGATATTATAAATGAAATAAATAATTATTCAAAATTTATAGATACAGTTCTAATAGAGAACCCTAATTATGTAAGTAATGTAAGAATTGAGGAATTAGATAGTGTTCAAATCACGGATAGTACACTAACTTCAAGTACCTATGAGACAAACAGTGAAATACTTTCTTTAGATTTATATAATATTGATATTCATAGCACCGGTAATGTAAAAGAAAATTACGAAAAAATTAATGAATGTGAAATGGCTATCAAAATGATCACCAATAACACAATTGATAAACTCAATGATTTAAACTACTTTAACCAATATGAATGCAAACGTTTGCACGAATTGTTTAATCTACCCTGGTTCAAACAAATTATGGACAATCATATGCTAGTTATGAATTCAATGGATGAGCCCATGTATACCATATCCATTAGTCCCGATAAGTTCATGGAAAGGTCTGCCCAGACGTTTGACGTAAACCTCCAGGAACTGGTCATCACAATAATGAATCTGGGTGCCTTTCAAAGTCTATCATTGAATGACCAAATAGCCATGGTCAAGTATAATTGCATTGAGCTGGACTTATTAAAAGCAGGTTTAGGTTTTAACCATAAAACCGGAAGTTGGATTTTCAAAGGGGTATAACTTTACATATACATTTTTACAATTTCTAGATTTCTAGTAATTGCATTGTTTATAAACAATGTCTCCTTGCAAATGAACATAGGACAATAATTTATTGTGCAAGATAGAATTGAATTCACTTGATGGATTTAAGTATAGCTTCCAGGCTCTTTTCAAGTACTACTTGAACACAATTGCAAAGGAATTTGACTCCGATTTACATATACTCGGATTGGTATTATTATAGTTTTTAAAAATTATACAAGTATATTAATTGTGAAATATTTTATGTTTATTTCTCACAGTTAATACCCGTTATACTATTCAATCCGGAGAGACCAAACATTATTCACAAGGATATGATCGAGTAAGTAATTGATAATAACGAAGTATTATAATTTAGTAACAAAATTTAAATTATAATAGGCTTCACCAGCAGTTATATCTGTATTTGCTTCAAAAGTATTTACGTATGAAATATGGCTCTGAATGCGAGAAAAAATTTACCAAGATTTCAGATATGCTGCAAGACTTGAAAACATTGAATGAATTGCATAAACAAAACTTCAGAGAAGTTAAGCCAGAATTGTGTGGACCACTGCTCAAGGAGATTCTCGACTTACCATCAAATCATATCAAACATAAATAAATTAAATATATACTTTTGTAAATGATATACTGTATAATTTAATTCATATTTTATATTTAAATAAATTATTTAATTTAAATAATTTTTATTTTATCCAAAAAAACTTTAATGTTTTACCAACAAGTAAGTTCTTATGTATTACTTTTATAAGTACGGTATAATATTTTTATAACTATATATAATTACATTACTTATATAAGTTTTCATCGATTTGTCCAATAGATTAATTAATTTATTATTTACACACAACTTTGTGATTAGATTTAATATAATAGTTATTATTATGTCTAAGGTTTCAAAATACAAGTGATAACAAAAAGTTCACTATTGCAGTCATATAACAAAATATGATAATTCTTACTAAATTACTCTACAGTATAATTCAGTGTACTATTATTTTGATGTACAATTTTTAGTGTAATGTAATAATTCTATTTATTAAATAATAATACTGAGCAACTATAATTTTTAATGTTTATTAATTAAATCAACAACTTTAAACCTGGTCACTTATGTCTAAAAATTTTAGAAAATGTACAGTTTGTGGCGAGTTGGCTAAAGGTATGTTATTATTATACTTAAATAACTTATTTTAATTATACATCAAACCATACTTATAACAAGGTTTTCAACTGTAACTTAATATTTATTTTCAATATACCAGGCTACAACTTCTGTGCCATATCTTGTCAATCATGTAAAGCATTCTTCNGAGTTGGCTAAAGGTATGTTATTATTATACCTAAATAACTTATTTTAATTATACATCAAACCATACTTATAACAAGGTTTTCAACTGTAACTTAATATTTATTTTCAATATACCAGGCTACAACTTCTGTGCCATATCTTGTCAATCATGTAAAGCATTCTTCAGGCGAAATGCCTTCAAGTATGAGGTAAGAAATGAATCAATAATATGATATTATTTATATATAACTACTATTATCTAAAACTGTGGCCAGAAATACAAGTGTAGATTCAATAATAACTGTTTGATTGACGAAAAGACCCGAAGATTATGTAAGAAATGTCGGTTAAGGAAGTGCTTTGCGGTCGGCATGAAAAAGGTGAGAAAACAATCAGTTTGTAATAAATATAACAATTATTTTGATTTATGATTGGATGCGAAGGAATGGATACTCAATGACGAGGAAAAGGAGTCAAGAAGACGACAAATAGAAGAGAACAAAATCAAGAGGTTTGGAGATAAGAGGAAAGCAAGTAATGGCTCAACATTTTCGACATTACCTGATATCGATGCTCAAGAAACTGATACTTTATTAAATGTCATGCACTCTGAAGAGATCACTGATTATGTCGAGACAATCGAAAATTTCGATACAAATGATGTTAATATGCCTTCAGACAAAGCAGTTAATATTGTGTCAGATATTATAAATGAAATAAATAATTATTCAAAATTTATAGATACAGTTCTAATAGAGGACACTAATTATGTAAGTAATGTAAAAATTGAGGAATTAGGTAGTGTTCAAATCACGGATAGACCACTAACTTCAAGTATCTATGAGACAAATAGTGAAATACTTTCCTTAGATTTATATAATAGTGATATTCATAGCACCGGTAATTTAAATGAAAATTATGAAAAAAGTAATGAATGTGAAATGGCTATCAAAATGATCATCAATAACACAATTGATAAACTCAATGATTTAAACTACTTTAACCAATATGAATGCAAACGTTTGCACGAATTGTTTAATCTACCCTTGTTCAAACGAATTATGGAAAATCGTATGCTAGTTATGAATTCAATGGATGAGCCCATGTATACCATATCCATTAGCCACAATAAGCTCATGGAAAGTTCTGCCCAGAAGTTTGACATAAACCTCCAGGAACTGGTCACCACAATAATGAATCTGGGTGCCTTTCAAAGTCTATCATTGAATGACCAAATAGCCGTGGTCAAGTATAATTGCTTTGAACTGGAGCTAATAAAAGCGGGTTTAGGTTTTAACCATAAAACCGGGAGTTGGATTTTCAAAGGGGTATAACTTGACATATACATTTTTACAATTTCTAGATTTCTAGTAATTGCATTGTTTATAAACATAGGACAATAATTTATTGTGCAAGTTAGAATTGAATTCTTTTAATGGGTTTAAGCATAACTTCCTGGCTATTTTAAAGTACTACTTGAACACATTCGCAAAGGAATTTGACTCCGATTTACATATACTCGGATTGGTATTATTATAGTTTTTAAAAATTATACAGGTAGATTAATTGTGAAATATTTTATGTTTATTTCTCACAGTTAATACCCGTTATACTATTCAATCCGGAGAGACCTAACATTATTCACAAGGATATGATCGAGTAAGTAATTGATAATAACGAAGTAATTAAGTAATTTAATAACAATGTTTAAATTATAATAGGCTCCAGCAACAGTTATATCTCTATTTGCTTCAAAAGTATTTACGTATGAAATATGGCTCTGAATGCGAGAACAAATTCACAAAGATTTCAGATATGCTACAAGACTTGCAAACATTGAATGAATTGTATAAACAAAACTTCAGAGAAGTTAAGCCAGAATTATGTGGACCACTACTCAAGGAGATTCTCGACATACCTCCAAATTTATAAACTTTATTTAAATTTTAATAATCATTAAATTTGTTGTTTCAATTACTTATTTTGTTAATCAGCGAAAGGGTAGCAAACAATAATAGATTAACCGAAACGTTTTCGATCTACACTGAGATCTTCACCAGGGTAATAGATATTGAGTTTGTGTTAAATATTTTATAGCTTGAGTACACTATGTTTACTATACAGTATTATAATTATAAGACACGATTATTAGGAACAGATCTTATTTTACGTAAAAATGTTCACAAATAAGAGTATTTCCTTATCGTAAAGTTTTATTTATAATATTTTTAATAAATCATTAGATAGATTATTAATTTTGTAAAATTTTATTTAAGGTTTGAATCTATCTTATTTTACGTAGAAATGTTCACAAATAAGAGTATTTCCTTATCGTAAAGTTTTATTTATAATATTTTTAATAAATCATTAGATAGATTAATTTTGTAGAATTTTATTTAAGGTTTGAATCAATTTTTGAAAACATTTCCCTTAATGGACAAAGTTTGCACTAATTAATTTTACTGGGACATTTTATCATACAACTTACACTACAAAACATTATTTTGCTTTGACATAGTGTTTCTCAAACTTAGATTTATTTTTCTTTATATGTAATAGAGGGACATGGATGTCCAGATTGTTACCAAGTGCAAAATATACGATATAAGCTAAAGTTTACACATTTAACAAATAAAAATCCCTTGATATTTATAAACTTTAAGGAAAATTATTGACATTTATTCAAATAAAATATATTATATAATTATTTCTACTATACTTTTGGTATTATGTAGTTTTGTAATTTAAATGATTTTTATACAATAAATTTTTAAAGAATTAATTATTTATTGAAAATATTATTTATATTTCTAGAAAATAATAAAACACGGTTATATTAAATTAAATGTAAATACAGTAAAATAATGTTTGAAAAATATAAAATGTTTTGTTTGTTTAGTTTAGTACATTACATACAATTTAACATTTGTTATACGGGTTTTTATATTTTATTTGATTTTATTTTTCATATCTATGTTTTATATTTGATCAATTAATGACCCTGACTATTTTCATACATATGAAATTGTTATGAAAATTAACAGAACATTTTAATTTAATATGTCACATCTGATTATAAATACAAAATAATAATTATGTTATACTATAGTATACGGTATATTTTAGTGCATTATTAAAAATGTAGTTCATTGTAATAAATGTTTGTAATAAATGTGTAACGAATTAATGTTATATATTTTCATAAACATTTGTGACTTATTGAATAAAATTGTACAAAATGTACAAATGTACTAAATTCAATATATTTTGTAAATTATCACAAAATAATATTACTATTTTATTTATATTATGAACGTACCATACCGTACTGCACTTTATACTATGATATATACCTATATAACATAATATATATTTTCATACGATTTTTCTAAGTTTTTAGTACATATTATAAGTACGAATGACTTAATACACGATCTAATGATTAAATATACGGGCATGTATGCGCTTGCAAAGTGCATAATTAAATTGCACTTTTAAAAATAACCATCAATTTTGTATTTTATACCTAAATATGTCTCATTAAAAAGTCTTATTTACAAAATACCTGCATTTTGTGTCAAACTAACTATAACTCAATATAACAAACTAAATGCACTTAATTGTAATCAACATTTGTAGATGAATTTCTACTGTACCATAATGCAACGGGTGACCTTGCACATTCGCCGACTCACTTGAGTTTCAATCTATGTTCAATCAGACACAAAAACAACATTCAGTGCAGCTGGTATAAAAAAGTATCCAGGGAGGGGTGGGCATTATGTAAGGTCAGATATTTTAGTGCCAGATACTTTATGTACTAACTAATGAATCCAGTATGCTAGCATATAGTAAATCATGAATAAAAGTTACAGCATACAGTACATGGCAATGTGCAGTGCGGTATAAGTAAAATATAAGTGCTCGCAAGTACATTTTTGACTACAAGTACTTTTAGTGCATTAGTAATGCATTACACATAGAGAGTGTGTATACGTGTGTACAGAAAAGTATCCACACATTCAAGTCAATGGTTTTATAGCATTGAGTGAATGCCAGGTTTGGAAACTTGTTTCACATCTCACACAACAGTACAGATAACGAGGCATTCAGTCCATTGAAAACTCTGCATACAAATAGTGCACATATTTTGTTGCATTTAACTTTTTCTTCCTATGCGTGTATATTACTTAACATATTATTCAGCAAATAATAGTATTAATAATAATATTTTGTAATAATTTATTCATTCATTACGGTGTAAACGTACAGAAAATATGTGTTAAATAATAAAACCTATTAATACATACTGAGATTAAAAGTACTCAAAATTGAATTATTAAATAATAAGTACGGTTTCCATTGGATATAATCGGATCTCTTTATTATCGCATATTATCCGCTATTTTTTGTAATCCCACTAAAAAAGGAGCTCTTATTTGGTGGCAAAACTTGGTTTCAATAAGTTTCGCGTCAATGAAAAATATGTCAAACAAATTGACTAAAATCTGCTCCATTTGTGGCGAAAATGCAATCGGTATGTGATTTCAAACTACTTTCCTGGATAACAATTTTCATTAAAAACTTATTAAACTTGTAAAATATGTGTTAGATGATTTTACAAACGCATAGAAAACTTTTGCTAGCTACAATATTGAGTTGATTTGTGTCTGTGTAATACTTATGATTATCTCATCCATGTCTTAGGCTATAACTTCTGTGCCCTTTCGTGTCAATCGTGTAAAGCATTCTTCCGGAGGAATGCCTTCAAAGTGAATGTAAGCTAAAAGACTAATACAAAAGATATAATTTTATGCAAAATATATGCTAATTGTACCGCAATTTTGATGACCAGAAGTTTAAGTGCCGTTTCGGCGACAACTGTGATATTAATGTCATGACCCGAAAGTTCTGCAAAAAATGTCGGCTCCGGAAGTGTTTCACCGTTGGTATGAAAAAAGTGAGTAAATGTTGTAATAGTTTTACGACTTGTTGTGACTTTTATGATGTTTTTGTACGGATTTTAATGATTATTTTTGTCCGATAAAGGAGTGGATACTAAACGATGAGGAGAAGGAGATCCGGAAGAATAAGATCGAAGAGAATCGTAAGTCTAAGGAAAGGTCGACCGATAAGAAGTCGAAGCCCATGGAGTCGATGGAGTCATCCATGGAGTCGACAGAAGTGGCAAATATGGAGAAAAACGACTGTTTGGTCGAAGTCTTCGAGAATAACTCATCCAATGGTGAGTAAATTCATACATAAAAATCAGATTATGATTACTATTATGAGTCCATAAGTTATGAAATGAATGGAAAATAGTTTTTAAATCTACTCTATAATTGAGTGACAAAATATTGCACTCATTGATGGAAATGATAATACAATTCAACATAATTTTAACAATGCATGTGATTAAATAAATATATAAAATTATAAGATATAGGCCGGGAAGGAGCTGGAGTTTGTACCTGGCACATACATGACAGTGTGTATGTATAGTATATGCATAGTATCTGCCGGTTTAGTTGCACTGAACTCGAAGTCTGTTTCTCATAGATATAATCGCAACATAAAATGAACTATCAATGAAAAAATGTGTCTAATTTTTGTTCACTTTTTTTTTGTCATTTAACACAGAATCGAAACTGCAATCAAAAAAGTTTATGAAAATATGTTCAGTTTGTGGCGAAAAGGCTATCGGTATGTATTTTTCAACATTTTATTATATTTAGCGATATTTCTCTTATCTAAAAAGTTTTTAAATTATCATTGGATAAGAACTAATAGTGCAAAAAAACATAAGTGCAAACAGTATATAGAGAACCTGGTTAGTGACATATGGCTACAGTTCCTTGAGTTGTTATGTAATATTAAAAACTGTGATATACTGTGAGATTTAAATGAGTCGCATATCGCTAGTTTAGTGCATTGATTATGAATCAGTAAAAAATTATTTAATTTACAACAAATATTTAACTTAAAGTGTATTGAAATTTCGTATCAAGAACCTTATCCAATATTTTGTTTAGTGCAATTATAAACTTATTAAAACGATTTGTTTATTTATCTAGGCTATAATTTCTGTGCCATTACATGCGAGTCCTGCAAAGCGTTTTTCCGACGGAATGCCTCCAAAATTAATGTAAAAATTATACATAACTTTAAACGTAAAGAATATTCTTTAACAGAATTTGCATTTGAATTCCTGTGAACAGGACTACAAGTGTCCGTTTGACGAGAAATGCAAAGTCGACGTCAAGACCAGAAAGTTTTGCCGCAGATGTCGGCTCCGGAAGTGTTACGCCGTCGGAATGAAACAAGTATTCAATTCATGCATTCATTGAGTAATTGATTTAATTTACAAATTATTTGTTTATTTCTTATTAGGAATGGATTCTGAATGATGAGGAAAAGGAGATCCGCAGACATAAGATAGAGGAGAACCGCCGGTGCCGACAGATCAGTGATATTAACAAAGGACTCGCTACACCACCCGGTGCTCTAACGCACAGTTTCAATGAAGGGAACCGTAATTTTGCGTCGATAGCCCCTATCAGCCCCTCAATTAATTTCACAAACGGATTATCACACGTTATAAACACTGATAATAAGCTAATTGCAAATGATATGCATATTAGTAACTATTCCCCAAACAATTGCATTACGGAAATGATGGATCAGTCCAATGGTGATGACAGTCCTATTATCAATGGAAATGGTATGTCATACCCGACCGCTGTCAAGGTATCGGTGATTACATCCGTGGGCTATAAGTGTCCATTTGATGGCAAGTGTCGCATGAATGTCGTAAACCGAAAGTTTTGCAAAATGTGTGAACGTATTGATGGACAGACTCTTGTAGTGTAAGAATAATGTGTCAAATATTTTCAGCTAACTTTTTGTATTATAAGAATAATTTGTAAATGAAAGCATTTTGTACTGGGTTATTGTGAAAAGGCTCTATGATAGGGCAACTATTTTTAAGTTTTTTAGATAGTTTTAAATTCTTAATATATGTATTTGTGTGACATGTTATTAAAATATTTAATAATAATAAGCTATTTAAGAATTGCAATTGTAATATTTAATATTTATGCATGAATGTAATTTTTAAAAATAAACACTTTGTATTATTCCTATTGAATAACTTTTATTTGTAATAATCATTTAGGTAAAAGGTTTCTTACTAAAACTATTTATAGTTTAAAATTTAAAAAGTTAACTTGTTAACCATTCAATTCTAACATTTTTGGCACCAATTATTTTACATCTCAGGTGTGAATCATTGGTTAGTGACTTATTATACTTATTATAATTTCTTATATTCAACTCACATTACAATAGACTTCCTTTTCCGTCAATAATTAGTTTGTGAAAGCATTTTATAAATGATTAATTTGTTAAATAATTTATAAATGTGTTATAAAACACGAAACAGTAATATATTTATTGATTACACAATGGATTCAATTAGTAGCCAAATAGGTATAGTAGACGGGAATAGGTATACCTATTATAAACACTTATCATTCAAAAATGATACCTAATTTATACGGTTAGACACATCGCACCCGCGTATAACCCAAACAACTCGTACGACACCAGCGGCACCGCCGCCATCACCAGAATATAACAACTGTCCACCGCTTTCACAACCCATTACTCCACACATTCACCACCAGAAGCCGTCTGATATAAGACCTGTGATGAACACATCCAATGGTATGAATTCATGGGCTTCCGTACCAAACCTGCACCAAACGAATACCGTTCCTCATCTGCACCAAAACCATATGGCAAAGAGGTCGGCCTCACCCTCGCACCGACAGTCTAAACGTAAATCTATTAGAAATAGTTACTAAATATTGTATAAAATTATTTACAAACAAAATAAAATTTGTAAATAAATTGAATATAATTTGAATAAAATGTAACAGAATTGCAATATTAAATAAACATTTCAGTTTGGTTAACAACATATCCAGTCATGAGCTACAAGTGCTCACTAGCAAATATGTTGTATACGGAAAGCACGGGCACTTTATGGTACACTCATCACATTGAATGAATGTTGATTTAATTATGATATTATGACTCATTCTTATAGAACTAGTCATGAGCTACAAGTGCTCACTAGCAAATATGTTGTATACGGAAAGCACGGGCACTTTATGATACACTCATCACATTGAATGAATGTTGATTTAATTATGATATTATGACTCATTCTTATAGAACTTTTAACGATGAGTCCGAATATCTTATTTATATTGTCCGGTGACCTCGGGTTCGGCCGCAGTGACCACTTTTATCGTGAATTGTTTCCGTTATAAATATGGACATGTGATATATCAATTCAATAGAGATTTTAATGGAGAATACGATGGTATAT